CCTGCCAACAGCTTCGTAAATCCGACGTAAATCATCGAGAGCGTAGGCGAAGCTTTTCCCTCTTTGGCTCCGCGCTTGGGTTACGACTCACAGCGCCAGGATTACAGAACGAACCTCTACCGGAATGGCGACCGGCTACTATTAGGAACTTCTCTCTTGGGGTGTTGAGCCACAATTTTTACTGTTCCAAGATTTGCGTCATATGTTATCTGGTCGACATTTGCTATGAATCATGTTTGTGCGGGTTAGCCATGCGTCAAAAAGGGTAACCTCGGCAGCACAAGTAAGTGATATATCGCCATATCAAAACTCGCGCTCACCGCCCACGTACAGAAACTGATGGACTGGATAGGCGTCGATTCGAAGAGACGGCCTCGTGCTGCCTGCGCCTGAAGATGGATTTCAGACCAGAAAAGTGCACCTCACTGGTCCCAGGAGCTCACATGCGTCTTCCGCGGAAGGCAAACAAAAGAGGGAACAAGACAGAGTAACTTTGACCTAGCACTTACTCGACGCTCAATCTTTCTAACAGCTCGACAGCAATTTCTGATTTCCGTGCTCGAGTCATCAGCTACAAAGCGTGATGCCAAGGCTTATCTTCAAACCTTTGGCCCTGCGCTCGCCCGAGGAGGGGATGCGCAGAAAAGGCCAACCTCTGCTGGCGGGCTGCAGGACAGCACTCGAGCCGTGAGCGAGAAGGCACAATTCGTTCAAGGCCCTCAAACAGAGGCTAATGTGGCTACGGACGACAAGCCACATGTTGCCATTGTGAAGTTGCGGGAACCGCAGTCATGGGACGATGCCCTCCTCGACGGTGTCGTCCGGACTCTCACCCAGCTGAGGGAACTAGGCCTGCTCAGTGTCATTGTACTTGACTGTGGTGCGGACCAAGCGGAGACCAGCCCCGAGAGCTTGCAGAAAGTCGTCACTCAACAGACAGACCGCCTTCTTAAGGCTATTGGCCGTCATGGCTATCCGGCCGCTCAGCTAGTGAACTCGAGCATATGGAAGATGGCGGGAACACCTCTAAGGGAGAGCCAGTCTCCTGTGGTTGCTTCAACGGATCTCTTTGTGGGCTCCGAGGACACTCTAATCACACCGCTCAGACATGGCCACCTCCTCGTCGTTTCACCTAGGGCATGTTCTGAGCAAGACCTCAAACACACGGCCGCCGATCCTGACACAGTCGTCTTGACTCTCGCCAGCTTCTTCGCAGGACTGCAACACGACAGACGGTTGGTAGGTCCTGAGGGGATGGTAGATGACGATCCGGGCTGCCAGAAACGTCCTGTTAAGAAAGCTTCGGTTGACAGGATCATTGTTGTCGACCCTCTTGGCGGCATACCATCTCCCAGGCAGGGGCATGGCACACAGGTTTTCATCAATCTTGAGCAAGAATTTGACCCCATTCAGGAGGCCCTTCATGCCAAAACCAGTGCCCAACCGACGAACCCAAGACCTGACATACCGGGAGATCGCAAGTCAGCACAGCAACACATGGAAAATCTCAGACTGGTCCGACATACTCTCGCCCTCCTGCCATCGACGTCGTCCGCCATCATCACCAGCCCAACAGAAGCCGCAAATTTCAGAGGTTCAAGGACCGGTCATGATCGGGGGCGGGAGATTGAGCTTGTTGCGGGTGGAGTGAAGACTAGGAGGTGGCAAAACCCGCTTATACACAATCTCCTCACAGACAGGCCGATATACTCGTCCTCTCTGCCGCTCGGGAGAATCAAATCTCCGAAGGCACAGGGTGCCAACTTCGAGGTAGTGCCCAACATGCCGACAACAACGCTGGCGAAAAAGGGACTGCCAGTGACCATCTTCCCCGACCCTCGAACCCAGCCATGGCTACCACCGAAACCCGGATCACCTCGACTTAGATTGACCGACACCTGCATCGACCTGCCCAGGCTAGTTCACTTAATCGATGACTCGTTCAACAGGAAACTCGACGTGGAGCACTATCTCAACAGGGTCAAAGACAGCCTGGCGGGCATCATCATCGCTGGAGAGTACGAAGGTGGTGCAATTCTGACGTGGGAGAGGCCCTTTGGTGTAGACGAGGAAACTGCATTTCGGGAGGGTCGTATGGTCCCGTATTTGGATAAATTTGCGGTGCTGAAAAAGAGCCAAGGAGCCGGTGGCGTCTCCGATATAGTGTTCAACGCCATGGTTCGGGATTGCTTTCCGAGTGGTGTCTGCTGGAGGAGCAGGAAGAACAACCCGGTCAACAAGTGGTACTTTGAGAGATCACGCGGAGTTAGGAAGCTTCCGGACAGTAACTGGGCTATGTTCTGGACGACGCCCGAGGCCGCTTTGGACAATCGAATGATGGACTACGAGGACGTGTGTAGGAATATAGAGCCTTCTTGGGCAGATAAGAAGAAGGCGGCCGATTAAGCACCTCTACGTGTAGTGTTGGCAGCTTTGGAGGCATCCGTTTGTATATACTGTACATGGTTTTTGGGGGATAGAGATCGTTTTGGCTAGTAAGTCTAGATATCCTTCCGACTCACGCTTGGAACATCGCAATTCTCAGCGATTTGGATCAAGTGTGGTCTTGGAGTTGAAAACACCGTTGTCCATACAAGTAAAATAGCTAATAAAAATGCAAATGCAATCTAGCGTTCCTGATCGTGAATAATGACTACGTAACTTTCAAAACACCCCATGACCAACTTTCACATACACTTCACAGCAGTAACCAGAATCACAAGCCAAACGGTGTTTGTTCGCACTAACAGCCAAGCCAGTCTCGTGCTGCATGAGCTGATACAGCCAATCACGCGCTCAAGCAAGCGTCCAGAACACTGCAGGGGCCTGTCAGTGGGGTCGTAATCTGTAGTGGGCCTGGAGCTGCGTATCCCCCTAACAACACCTCAAACCCTCAATTAACCAAGCTTCGAGACTTGTGATCCGCAACCCTCCCAATTCGCATCGCCGACCGTATAGCTTAAACCTTCCGTCGATACGGGCCAGCAAATATGGACACTTTCAAGGGACTGCAGAAGAGCCTCACGTAAGGGCGCACCCTCTTACTCGATAGCAATCATACCATGCGACTGAAGGAAAGGGACACATGCTGACGCTGAACCCTCGTGCAGCTCTCTAGGTGGCCAGATTACCCCGTTTGCGTCGCGCACCTTGCAATACACCAAGGAGCAGCTTGGTCAGTCCGAGGATAAGGTCAGTTGCAAGATACAACCGCTCTTGTCCATAGTTGATGATGATCGCTGACAAGTGCTGCCTGGCTGACAGACTCAACTCCCTCCCGACTACATCGACCTGGAGAAGCGGGTCGATGCCCTGAAGGCGGTTCATCAGAAGATGCTGGCGGTGACGTACGTTACACACACACGCAACTTGCGTAACTTGATGATGGGGTTGATCTAATAGATGTTTACTACAAACAGCTCGCAATACTCACATGAAGCCTACGACTACCCACCCAACATCAAGGAGACCTTCCAAGACCTCGGCCGCACCGTCAGCGAGAAGGTTACTCTCTTGTCGTCGGCCACCTCCCCCGCCGAGGCCCAGGCCGCCCTGACCGCGCCGCCCTCCGCGAAGCCGCAGCCCAAGACGTTCCCGCATGCCATCGCCCGCGCCAGTCTGGCGGGCAGCCAGACCCTGCACCAGCAGCATACCGGTGCCGGCGAGGACCCCCTCGCGACCGCTCTCGAGAAGTACGCCCTGGCCATGGAGCGCGTGGGCGAGGCCCGTCTTGCCCAGGACGCACAGATCCAGAGCAGGTTCCTCGCTGGGTGGAACACGACCCTCAACACGAACCTCATGTTCGCCACGCGCGCGCGCCGAAACGTCGAGAAGGCCCGTCTGAACCTCGACGCCATCAAGGCCCGGGTCAAGGGCACCACGTGGAAGCTCGGTGGTGGTGCTGGCGGCGGTGCTCAGGGTGGTGGTGCAGCGGCCCACGACGAGCACGAGCTCAGCCCGGAGGCGCAGGAGGAGATTGAGAAGGCCGAGGACGAGTTCGTCACCCAGACCGAGGAGGCTGTTAGCGTTATGAAGAATGTGAGTTCCCTATGTCTACAGTAAGCTCATCCAATGGAACGTTGGTTGCTAATGCGGATGTTTAAAAGGTCCTGGACACCCCCGAACCCCTCCGCAACCTGGCCGAGCTCATCGCCGCCCAGATGGAGTACCACAAGAAGGCCCACGAGATTCTGAGCGAGCTTGCGCCCGTCATTGACGGTCTGCAGGTCGAACAGGAGGCAAGTCGCGCTTCGGCTTATTCTTTGCATTAGAATTGTTTTATTTTATTGCTATGTGAAAAACTCGGCACTTGTGCTGACTTCGAGCCCGTCGTCGTCGTCGTTGTCCGTTATATAGGCAAGCTATCGAAAGAGCCGTGAAAACGCCTCCTCCTAAATCATTGTGTGTGTGTCTGGCAGGGCCATTCACAAAAAACCCATCATAGGGAAAGCTTGGCAGGGGGCATTCCTTTTCTAAGGGGCGTGTTTTCATTCGTTGTCTCACTCTGGACAATTGTCGGAATTGGCCCAGTTTTTAACTACGTATCTTGACTTTTGATTCGTCTTATGTTGGGTTGTATGTATGTAACATTGGTGGACCTTTCTTCTGGGCCTGAGTACTGTGTATGGAATCTCATGTTCATCTCCAACGGGTAGTCCAATCCGTTTTTGTGTGTTTAGGTCTCTCTATCTATCTATCATAATAAGTCATTTGTTTCGACTTTCGATAGCTTAGAGTTACATTTGACATTTGATGGTTTCCTGGGTTCTTAACATGATTTGCAGTCTATCATTATATATGCTAGTGTTCTCGGTCCGGTCTCTACAACAAATCAGCCCGTGCCCCACCAAAATTTCCCCCTTCTCCGTTTCTCGGAACGCCAAATATACCCTGGAACCCCACCAGGAACCCACCCAGCTGAACACTAGTTAGGGTTTAAACACGTTAATAACCACCATAACCACCTCTAACCTTCCAGAGAGGCATCAAGCAAGAAAAAAGGGCGTGTGGCTCAGTTGGTAGAGCGTTCGCTTAGCATACTACCTCCCACCCACCCTGCGGCGGACGGCCCCGTAAAGGGGGTGTGTGAAAGTGTATGCGAAAGGTCCTGGGTTCGATTCCCAGCTCGTCCAGTATTAAGTCTGCGCGTGGGCGACATTTTTTGGGTTTTTTTTTTCATCCATCCACGAATATATCCGTATATAATTTTTTTTTTTTCACCTCCTCCCCAGGCTCTCCCTTTTTTTTAAAAGGTCTTACCTAGTGTTTCTTTAACGGGCTGATATTATTAAGGGCTCAGCTTAGCTCAGTTATTGTCGTCGTCATCAGCATTTTCCCGGTGTGTGTGTGTATGTGTGTGTGTAATGGTTGTATGCACCACTCATTTATTAATGAAACTAAGTTGTTAGGGGTAAAGAATGTGTTATATGTATTCTGTACATACATTTAATTTTACGTCCCACTCTCTTCTTATAAATCACCACTAGCAATGTAAGACAGACACTTCAGCAACATCTTAAACGAGGGTCGAATCAAGCATCGTTGGTTCGCTCGTGATTTTTAAAAAAAACTCTCATTATGGATATTGGATACCCAATATTAGTGTACTACAGGAAGGCTTCATATGGGGGGAGATATATCTTGTCATAATGTCCCACGAAGAAAAGAAAAGAAAAAGCGTTCATACAATGTATTCGTATGTGTATACTCTTCTATCAACACCCGCTGGTCCCCCTGGGTCAACACTTCATCAGGTAGTTAGCGTTCAAATATGAAATTTGTTTGACAGAAGCATGGTGCATGCACAACGGTTGTCAGTCTAGTGTCTATAGATCTAGTACACACGCCCGTCCACAAAGAAAAAGGTACTACCTTGGTTGATACCAATGTACAGTACAGTACAGTACCTCGGGTACTTATGATGTCTAATCATGGAATGATGTATAATGTGTATACAAAAAATGTGCATATGAATATAAATATAAATGGAAATCCGCTGTCCCCTAAAAAAAAAAACAACGCCTGAACACCAATGCTTTGACTTGATATCTGGCTAGTTAATCTGCCTTCCTGTTCTTATTGACCGCACCCGCACCACTCCTTCCCCTTACCCCTGTTGACGAAGAAGACCGTGTTGTTGTTGTTCCCGTGGTGGTTGAGCTCAGCAGGCCCATATCACCACCACAACCACTACCTTCCCCCCACCCAACCCCTCCACCACCTCCCCCACTGCGTCCATCATCGCTATTCGTATCCGCAAGCTCAATCAAATCAGTAACCCCCTCTTCCGGCAGCTGCAGCGGTCTCCCACCAAACCTACTACTACTCGGCCCCATGAGCGGCGTGCTCGTGCTTGGTCTTCTCGAGTTTGCAAACGCGCCGCGCAGCCAGGTTTCAATGGCTGCTGCAGCTTTGTCGAGACCTGACCCCTGGTTCCTCGCTGACGACGACAACGTGCTTAATACCCCCCCTCCTTCCCCTGAGGACGGGTTTTCCACGATTAATGGTGGTTCTTCAGGGTTGATATCAAACATCCCGAACCTGGCCATTTCCGAGCCCATCACCGACATTGACGGCAGGCTGTCGATATTCAGACCAGGAAGGTGCTTGTTGGTCCAGGAGTTGAAGTAGTCCTTGTCCGGCCCGGGTGCTCGCACGTGTCTTCCGAGTGAGCCAACGCCGCCAGGTCGACGCATCCATGCCGGCCTTAAATCATCACCCACGCTACCTACACGGCTTCGCCCGGAGACGGAAGAGGTGGATGGCCGGTGGGCTAAGCTCGGTCGGGGACCACTCAAAAGACTGTGCCTCCGAGAAGAGGTGCTTCCGGGGCTGTCGAGCGCCGGTGGGTCCGAGGTCAATGAGAAGCTGGGTACATCGACAGACTGTCGGGGTGTAGATAGCGTGGATGCACTACGAATGCTCTTCTTCCGCCGTGGCGGGAAATACCCAAGCGCTTTCCTCGCCACGCGCGCAATCTCTACCGGTTCGGGAAACGAGTCGACTGCCACCCATCTGACGTGCGTCCATGGCTTCTCCTCTTCTGTGTGTGACGACGGCTCTAAACTGTGGCCATTACTGAAGAAATCGTCGTCGTGTCGAAACGGGTCGTCTGTCGGAGGGGTTGGCGCCAATAGGTCCACCGGGGGAGCAGCTTTGACGGACTGTAGAGGGGGTGGCGGTCCATCGCAAGTGCGTCCCTTAACCTCGCAAGCGTCCACCGGCAGCGCCAGCCATTTGCGTACCTGGATGTTATCCCTGGACCACAGCCCATTAGCCTTCCGGAAAGCGTCCTCCCGGCACCGGTACTTCAATATGATACCGGCATAAGTGTCGCTGGGCTTGACGTGGTGGATGTAAACCAGATGTTCCCCCTGCTCTTCACCCCGGGATGAAGAACCCCGTAGATCCTCGTCTGAGTTCCGTTTCTTAAAGTTCCCAGCGACGTCCAGCCCTCCATTGACGCCCTCGTGACTTTCCAGCACGCTTGCCGTTCTCATAGTTTTTAGCCGTGCTTCCCGCTTCGCTAGAGACCCTGCAGCGACGTCCTCCAGCCGTGGTCTCGACTTGCTGCTGCTGCTGCCGCCGGGAGGCTCGGGACCCCATGTATCCGTAGTGCGACCGGCCTGGCGACTTCCGCGGGGTTTTCGCGTTCGGCTTGTGTCCCTGCTCCTACTGCCGGTCCCGTCGAAGCTATCGTGTGTGGAATCGCCGCCGCCGGCCAGCAGCGAGGAAGCGAGCTCATGCACTGCGGACCAGCTGGGTACCCATGATGATCCACCAAAGAGCCCCCCTCCTCCACCGGCCGGACTTCGTGCGCGGGATGCGCTGGAGCTGCTTGAGACAAACTCATTGTTCCTCCCTGTTACGGCCCCTATGCGCGCCGTTGGAATGGGAGTAACGCTTCGGCTGGGCGACTGGCCTGGGGTTGAGAAGGCTGAAGATGACGAGCCAGCGGCATTACCACCGTTACTGACAAGGCGACGGTTACGCGGACGGATAGAAGCCGTATCGGTGTCATGCGCGCCGGGAACAAGGGCACTCGAGGACGTGCGTTGCGAAGGTGGGATCATTGGATCTGGTAGTGGCATCGTCGCGACGAGGAGGCCGCTGCTGACCTCGGCGCGGCGCAGCGATGGTGAGGGTTACGAGTGGGCATCAGACCGTGAATTCTCTCGGGATGGACAGGTGTATGATTTTCCTGATGTGTTTGTGGTGGGTATGCAAAGCCAGGGGTTGTGCAGTCGATCGTCCAGTGAATGGGATGCTTCGGGGTCTCGGGCACTGTGTTGGACAGCCTGCGTTGGGACAGTACTGCGTGCAGCTTACTCAGAGCCGACAATGAATGAAACACCATAAATCGGCAAAGTCTAACAAAGAAAAAGGTTTGTGGTGGATGCAGGCCAGTCAAAGGCCTTGTTAACTGTACGTCGCGCTCATGTCATTAGGGTCGGTGCTGGTTTGAATCCTGTCAATTGCACGGCAGACTAGGAATGACGGATGATGAGGGCGACGTATCCCCTCGGCGGATCGCTCCCGTTGCCTCTTGTAACTTGTTGGATTGCTACTTTCGGCGGCGGCTGTGGAACCTTTGGCACCCCTGGCATAGCACCGCCGCGGCGCCGCCGCACCAGTCGCTTTTGCTTCGAGCCAAGTGGGCAATTGGCGCGGATTCCAAAGAGACATCCCTGACAGGTGCGAGTCTGCATCGACCGGACGTCGCTGCTTTGCTTGATGCAGATGAATCCTACTACGTATTTTGGGTTCCTTATGTCTTTAAGAAATAATCGAGCTCCAAAAATACTCCAAAAAGTCTTCGTTTACAAATTGTCAATCGATCAGTTAATAGACACAATAGGTACCTCTCTCGCCAAGGGGTGTTAGGCAGTTACTAGGTAACCCACCATGTCCTACCATTTCCAAGCAACATACACGAGCCTGGGCATTAGGTAAATGTGATTCCACTCCTTTAACGGACGCGTAAGTGTTCGGTTTTAACGTTCGCCATGGGTAAATTGATTGACTCGGGCGGAAAGCGTTGACAACCTTCAATGATACGGAAGTAGCTCTAAGCTGGCCTTACATGAAGCCCACTGAAGATACTGTGTACATGTGCCTCATACTATTCTGTGCGTGAGATGCGAAGCAGTGGAAGCAGTAAAGACGCAAATGCCAAATTTCTGCTATGTATCATCCTTGTTTTTATCCCGACTAACTCGATGGTTCTCCTGAAAGTCAACTTTAGTGCACTTTGGTTATACTTAAGCACTCTGTTACACACTGTAGGTCAGGGACAAACCCAATGGTTATCGGTTATCAAACGGGCAAAAGGGTTAACGGTGAAAGCGTTTCAGCTAGCTACCGCCATATTAAGGGACTCAAGATAGCCCCACATAGCCTTATGATGATTCTACTTCTAGGCTTGCAATTCAGACCTAGCAAAGACTTACAAAACTTTGTCCAGGGCTCAGAGACCTGCCGCAGACAACTCAGCCATGTTGCCAGAACGGGCCCGTTGCCAGAAAGCCAAGGTGAGCTCACCGAGTTAGTGCCAACCGGTGCGGGACGCCGGGCTCGGTAGGGACTTGGGCACGGGCCATCTGCGTGGGGTACGGGCTAAACAGTCGCACGTGTTGACGTGGGAGCGGGGCGACGCTTTTGCTGTCGCAAAAGTAAACAAAAGTTTGTTTGGATAAGCGCGGTCGTGTTCCGCAAGTAATCAAGTCGACAATTCGACACATTCAGACTTTGGCACCGGTAAACAACTCGGCGCCGCGAAAATGAGGGTAACAGAAGTAATTATCGACGTAAGCTAAGATATGCGACTTCAGATCTTGCCAGTATCAGTGCCTAACGTCTTTTACAGGGCTTCAAGTCGTACGCCGTACGGACGGTGATTTCGGGATGGTGAACAACGACTCCGAGCCAGCTAGATGAGGAGGAACATGGGTACTAATAATTTCCAGGGACGAGAGCTTCAACTCCATCACGGGTCTCAATGGAAGTGGAAAATCCAACATTCTCGATGCCATCTGCTTCGTGCTGGGCATCACCAACATGTCCACCGTCCGCGCGCAAAACCTCCAGGACCTCATCTACAAGCGCGGCCAGGCTGGCGTAACCAAGGCCAGCG